TTGTTAAAAAGGCTGAAGTCCGGACTTCAGCCCTTTTAACAAACTTTGCGCTGAAGACAGCGGACCAAACATAAACTTATTTTGTCGTTTTGATTGTGCAACAGCGTGGTGAATAAAGTTGATTTATTACGTTTGATCATTTTAATAATAATTTAAGTTATTAACTGCTTTTTTAAATAGATGATAGTGTTAGTAAGTCTGATCATACAAATTATAAAAAAAAAAAATAAGAAACCAGTAATTGAGTTGACAGTACATAACACGCGCAAAAAATTTAACAAGCCATAAAACAAGATGAGCAGGACGTTAGGAAAGAAAAGAATGTAAATATTTTGTCCTTAGCGGTAGATTTAAATCAAAACATTTCACTGTCCAAAACACATGTGCAAGAGTTTATTAACCTAAGGCAGTTAACGGTTAGTGTATTTTATATTCATGATAGAAAGGCTAGAAATTCTCTAAATTTTTATTGCACTACCTTTGCTCCTTTCTATTGCACTACCTGTCTACCTTACGTATGATGAACTCAACTTTTATGCCGATAATTCTGGGATGCAAAATAAAAACCATCGCTTTTCAAACCTTTTTATGGCGCTTACTGATAATAAGTGGGTTAAAAAAATAAATCAATTTTTCCAATCAGAGGACACATCTTTTTGCCCTGTGACCGTGAAATCGTTTTCGATTATAAAAAAAGAGTTAAAAAGGCATGACAGAGTAAACAGCGTATAAGAAATTAAAAAAATTATATTAAAAAGTTGTAATCAATACAAGTTTTTAGTGGTTAATAAAGAGAGTTCATCTCTAGTTTACGATGTTAAAAGTTGGTGGCCAGTCCACTATAAAAAAAAAAGACCTCAATTGAAACAATGGTTAAACCTAGGAACCAACATACTCAGTTTGCAATAAGCAAATTTCACCGTTATCAATACGATTGTGACAACATAGATCAATGTAAAGTCTGTGAAATCATCAATTGCATTGTCAAACATACTTTTATGATGAGAAAAAATACTCAAAACAAAGTGAACCTGCCAGAACAGCTTCTTTACCCAAACGGAAAAGTTCCAATTAAGTCTGCTAAATTGAATGACTTAAGATAGTAAATTCCACATGATCATATTGACTTTTATAATGAACTACTGCAATGTCCTACAGTAGATAGCAAAGATGGAGAAGAAGAAGATACTGGGGAAAATGATTAAGCATAGTTGATAAAATTTCTGTATTAGACCTTTTTTTTCCTTATAATTTTTGTTAAAATATATAAACAATTCATAAATATACACTTTGTAAAGATTTATTGCAGTTTAAGACATTATTTTCTATAGCTCAAAATTAAAATCATAATAAAATAAGCAGTAATTATTCGTTGAATGTTAAAAGGGCTGAAGTTCACAGTGTTAATTGGTTTATTGTTTCTTTAAAAATAAATATAAAATATATATTTTTGCTTTTAAGATAAAAAACATTATCCCGTTCAAAAAAAAAATTGTTAGACCATTAACAAAAACTTACTGAGGAAGCAGTGCTGTTTTTTTTTTGTTTTCCAAAAATTTACATCGTTGGACTTCTGCCCTTTTAACATTCACCGATTCAATTATTAGCACTTTTTCTTGGGCCAAGGTATTAAATTTTAAACAATTTCATGCGCCAAGACTTGGCGCATTAAATTGTTTAAAATTTATCACCTCATACAAAATGACTGAAATCAGAAAAAGCTTTAAAGCTGTTGGAAAAAAGCAAACAGCCATCTTACTAAAGGAAAGAAAACAAAAAAAGAAGGTTGTAATTATTATTTTTTTCTAAAATATAAACAATAAATCTTTTAATCAATATAAGCCATATATTATTTTCTATATACTCTTAGGTGTCTATTAAACGGGATGGGACTTTAATTAACTTTTGTAAAAATTTCCCATCCATCCAAGCTTATTAAAACCACATACTCTTCCTCCCACTCACCTCCATTTTTTAATTTTCATTTTCTTTTAACAAAACTGACGTTGGAGGTAAGTACTTCTCCATGATTCACCTGCGATTAAAACGATGATTTATTTTAGCCATCGTTCAGTTGAATTTAATAGCTTATTTCTCTTTTATAGAAAAAGACACAGTAGATGAGAAAGATAATATATGCAATTGGAGAAAATGCTCTTTTGTAATCTTGTTTAACTTATTCATTGTACAGCATTTTCTTTGACCAACATTTTTAATACAAAAACTCAACTTTTACCATAGTGTTTTGCTTTGTTTCCATTACTTTATACTATACAATAATTCATGAAAATAAAAGCTTTTCTTTTTAAATCATTTTAATGCTTTTTTAAAACAAAACAAATCTTGTATGAATTCAATAAAGCTTTCAAAATAATCTCAAAAGTCCACTTGACATTTTAAAAATAAGTTAAATCAATAATTTAATCAGGTTGATTTCATGGCCCCATTGGTTTGCATTTTTTCTGATGCGCACTATTATTGCATTATTTTCTAATATTTTTCCTATCATTACACTAAAGTAACTTTTACCAACACATTTTTTTTTGAGTGCTACAGTCGAGTGGGTCAATTTTTCTTTAATATCTCAAAATCAGACTTTTTTTAATAATGATGCTTTAAGTAGGTTACTTAAGCTAGCAACTATGCAAAATAAACAGTTTTCAGGCAATTCAGTTATCACTAACAACCAAATAAAAGGTTCATAGTACCACTACATTTGGTTCATAGTACCACTACACTACAACTTTAATTCAGTTAATTTTCAAATTTTTCAATAAAATTTTATTTCTTTGTTGGATACAAGATGTTCTTGATTTTTTAAAATTGACATAATATTCGTAACAGTTAAGTCATTCTTGTGGTTAATAACTCTCTAAAGTTTCTCTGTTGTGTTTTGATTAGTACTGAGGCTTAGACCTGTTGCCAACACTATTTAACAAACTTTAAATGAGCCACGAGACAGGAAAACTTTGTGTTTTGCTACTACCAATTTTGTTGCCGCTACTTTTTGTTTTGCCACTACCAGAGTTTTCTTTATGGAGGAAGACCACTGTTAACTTATTCTATACTTGTTCCATTTGTATTTAAAAAGCAACAATAAAAACAAAAGTAAAAAAAGCAACTCCTTTGGTATATATATTTATAAAGCATGAATAGTTATAATTTGTATATTCGTGCACAACATAGTTTTAGTTTTGTTATGGTGTCCCTTCGTGACCGAGCTACCACAAAGGGTTACTTGGTCAAAATGCTCGAAGGTTTTGTGCATTTTTATATATTAGAAGGTGTTCTTAAATTCTAAAGCGGAAGATCGCAAATTCTACATTGCAGTTAGATCATTTTATTATGTTTATTTAATATAATGGTTTAATTATAATCAGATATTTAATTCAGTCTTTTTTTTTTTTAGTTCTAAATCTTTTTTTTTAAGTTTTAAAAATTTTTTTTTTATTTTTCACTTTTTAAAGATAATATCCATTTAAATAATTTTTTATTGTTTTACTTATTCCAAACCATTTTTTTGTTCAATTGAAAATTTTCAGTACATATGAACCTAATGTTTTAATATTTTATGCTTTATGTAGATGTGGCAAAATGACATATCTTTTAACCATTTTAAAAGGATTTTTTTTGTGTATAACTAATAAGCAAATACGCACTTAGAAATAATAGTATTTTAAATAAACCCTTTAAAATGAAAATTCTTAGTATATATGAGCCTAACGTTTTAACGTTTTATGCTTTATGTATAGTGGAAAACTGACTTATCTTAAACTGTTTTAAAATAATAATGAATCAATATGCACTCAAAAATAATAATATTTTGAATGAATCCTTTTGTTCAACCAACTTTAATCAGTTTTGTATCTAATATTGTGCACTATTTAGATTAATTTTTTTTTTGTTGATCTTTTTGGTGGTATGTCTTATACTTTTCCCATTTTGAAAATGTAAACTCAAAATTTTAATTCTGTTAATGGACAATTTAGTTAGGTACTTTTAATTTTATTTAGATGTATTATATGAAACTTTTATTGTTAATTACATCTTATTTTGGTAATTATTTACATATGTGGTCTATACACACAGGTTTGTAAAAGGTTCTGACGATCAGTGCCATCTCCATGTTTGTATTTGTAAAAGTAATTTCTTTCCTATGGCAGCAAATGTATACTTAAAAAAAAGTTAACCTATTTCTCAGTAAGAATGTTATCTATATTGACCACAATTTTCAGAAGGTAAATTTTTCTACTAAAATCGTAGTTTTTAATAGAGTATTTCAGATTTCATAATAGGATATTTTAACTATTTTGTCTTACGTTTTTTATTGAAATTATTTTCTTCGATTTCAAAAATTTCTTTGGATGTTTCACATATATTTGAAATATATTTTGAGGCTAGTTTGCATGTTTCACATATATTTGAAATATATTTTGAGGCTGCATACCTTCCTGTCTACAGATTTATTTTACCATAGAGTTATCAGTTAACTTTTTTCAAACATATAGTATGGGAAATTTCAGACATATAGTATTAGGAAACAAAATGACTTAATTATAAAAACTATTTAGAAGTTTTTGTATTACATATTTTTTACTTAAACATTTATTTTTAAGTGTTCATACCTTTTTTTTTAAGTTTAATCTTGCGTCATTGACAACAACTGCATCTACACAATATTCGTATACAAAAAATAAAAATAAAGCGAAACACTTTAGTGTAAAGAAAATGCAAAAGTTGGAAAGGACATCTTTAAGTAGAAGTAAAAAAAAATTGCCTTTATTTAAGCATTTATCTTGTATCTCCTAATGTATAAGTTTTACAAAAACTTTGTTTAAGTTATGCATTTCTTACATTAAACTACTTTTCATAGTCCTTTGAGATTCAAATTATCAAGATTTAACTGTACTATTAAATTTGATTTGTAATTTTTTTTTATTTATATATATATTTTTTTTCAAGGTTGTTTAGGTAAAAACTTATATATTTTATTTTTTTAGGTTATAAATGGTATCTTATTGGCTGTAGACAATTTATTAAGTTTGAATAGAAATTTAATTAAAGAAGCAAATCAAAAACTTAATACATCGGCATTATTTTTATCTCAACTTAATGTTTTGGCTGAGCAGCAAACCTCAAATATTACTAAAGCGATGAAAAATATTGGTTTTACATCATATACTTCTTCAGTAAATAGTAAACCTATATATATTTATTCTCTTGAAATGGAAGGTAATATAAGTGTAAGTATATCAAGGGATCATCCTAGAGATGAATATACAAACTTAAATGACTACATAATTCTCCCTTCACAACTTTTCAGTGAACTAAGTAAAATCAAAGTTTATTCTTACATATTTCGTGACAATACATTTTTTGAAGAAAGAAACAGAAAAATAGATAGTGTGATACTTTCAGCAACTATAAGTGATGTTTATGTGAAAAACTCCAATTATCCAATAAAAATGAAGTTTTCTAGTCAAAAAAGTATTTTTGGCAACAAATCCTGTTACTTCTACAATGTTGAAAGTATGTTATTGATTAGTGTTGGTAAATTAAATGTTTATTAATAGGTTTCA